AAATCTTAGAGGACCAAGATAAACTGTTAACTTTATATGATTTCTCATGGAAGATTCTCTCCAAATTTTTCAATCAACTAAACCTTGTCTGGGAGTAGGCAAAAGTCCTTGTGCTTTAATTTGAGTTCAGTAATTGACTTATGCAGCAATTTTTATTACTGATGTTTTGTTTTTGTTTTTAGGGAAGGGAAGGGAAGAAAGTGTATGTACAGTATTTACATCAGCTGTGCATTTGTACATGTTGGTACCTATTTTCTTTCTATTTATATTCATATACAGCTCATTTCTCTGTTTTTTTTCATTCTGATGTGATGGAATGTGTTTGAATGAATGTGGGTGGGGAGGTGGTTTGGATGTGGGAACATTGCTTGAACCTTGTGAATTTCCGCGAAATTTTCTGAAATATGTGACGACACGAAATGCGCAAACATCACGAGAAGTACCAATTCTTGCGAAATCAGCATAAGGTGATTCATGTTCTGTCCTGCACTGGCAAACTTACTTTTGCCAATTAAATTCGCAAATACTGTACACAAAAAAAAATACTTTTCTATAGCTAACCCAGAAAAAAAAACATTTCCGCGGGAATTACACTGTTATGCAATTTTATGGAAATGAATTCAAGAATGAACGTATTGCTCATCGAAAAGTCACGCCTGAGGGTATGCAAAAAGTAAAACGCAACTCAAGTCCAAACTAAGCTTTTTTTTACATATGTTGAATGGTGCCTCAGAATTTCGCCCACGTAAAATGAAATTCAAGCGACAGAAATTTGAAAAGATTCAAAACTTACAGCATTAACGAACTTTTTTTTCGTCGCCGTGCTTTTGACATCTTCCTCGAAGATTCGCACAAAATTTAAAGCTTCAAAAATTAAAATATTCCACGAATGTTTTATTTTTTTTTACAAATTCTTAATTATTTGTTCAACACGACATCGTACCTTTGAATCTTCAAGACCACTTGCAAGCCATCAAAATAAATATTTCAGGCAATTTTCACAGGTACTTCGTTGAAAAAGATCCTTACAGAAAATCGGGAAAAAATCACAAAAGAATAGTAAAATAAACAGAAGTGACCCCATAATGATACATTGTAAAAAAAAAACCATGCAATAGTCAACTTTTTTATCAAACGTAGAAAGGATATTATTACATAAATAATAATTAGGTTTAAATTGTCTCAAGATTCCAGTTCCCTCATTTACGTTAGAAAAAAGGAAATGTTCGCGTGGAAATTCAAAACACCTCTCGGATCTTCAATCGAGTGACAATTAACAAATTTAAATTATTCCAGAAGTGAGTTTTCACCAGTTAATTTTCAACAAGCTGAAGGCATAAATTTAAAGAACGACAGAAATATTTTCAGAACATATAATAAACCTGTCTATAAAAAAAAGAAAGACAGAATTCCGCGGCCATCTGCTGAAATGAACCTAATGTTCTTTGCACCTGTCTCGAGCTGAGCATTTCGCAGCAAGTCATTCATAAAACACGAGCGAACCAACCATTATTTTTTCCATGACAATTAAAATTGTGAAAATAACGAATTTCGAAAGCGAGTTATCATCAGCTGCCAATGCAAAAATCTTCACCTGTCCCCATCATAACAAGCATAACAGCGAAAGTGAATCCGAAACACGGATTCGCAATCGCGCAAATAAGCGCAGGGCTTAAAAAAAAACTCTATACTACACACAAATCTCGTCGAAATTCAATGCGAAATTAACGTTTTTCGCATAAACCCATGAAAAGGCGAGGATAAAAAAAAACTAGTCTTCTTCTTTCAAAAATGAAGACGAGGTAAATAAATCAAAAAGTTTCAACGCAAATAGCTCTTCAATTACAATTCGCAGGCACTTGAGATTACAGTACAGTATGTTCAATTTTCGGTCTCTTACCAGCAATTCAAAAAAAAATTTAAACAGATTAATTTCATTGATTTTTTTCTCTCCCAGTTGTATCCGTGGATTCTCTGACGACTGGAGTCAGAATATGCAGAAAAACCTGGAGCATTTAGGACTTGATTCGTTGGAAATCGCGAAGATCATGCACAAATACAGTGAAGTCTTGTTATTTTTTCCAACAAGATCTTACTTCAGTTTCCAAACCTGAGAGGATCCTCATTCAAGAAACTCTCAACTCAATCGCCGCGACATTTCTCTTTCAAATTTCCAAGAAAAATGAGTCTACGTCGCAAGAACACTTTCATAAAACTTTTGGCACCACAAGGTGCCACCACCACCACCACGGAAACCAAACATTTTCCCTCCTCTGTTCCCACTTCAACCAAAATTATAAACATTCCGTACTGTACAGTATAGTAGCCTGACATTCAAAGAGAGAGAGAAAGAGAGACACCATCACTTCAAACCGTGCCTCGGACCGTGTCGACACGGAATAAAACCCGCGGAATCGGGGTACTCAACAACAATTCCAAACCCCCCCTCCCACAGCGCAGTCTCGGGACTCTTTCCGGGCAATGTGAAACAAAAACCCGCGCCCATTGGGTGCGCCCAGACTGGGTTCTGTATATACACAGGGGGTAGGCCACCGGTTGGCTTTTCGCGGGTTACAATACTGCACATTCATTTGCCTCACTCGTTTATTGCGACAGGCGATCGCCTCTCTGGCTTTTCTTTCCCAAAACAAAAAAATCGTAAAATTCATCCAGTTGAACCTCTCTTCAAGTCGAATCTCTAGAGACCAGGAAAAAAATTTGACTTGGGGAGGTTTTGATTTTTGAGGTTTTGAGTAAAAGAAACAAATATTTTTGCTGCAAGGAAAATGGGTAATTGTAGATGAGGATATTCTGGGCCTAAACTTGCTTCCTAATGAGTTTACAGCTTGCTGAACTTGTAGGCAGGTGTTCATTTGTTCAATTAGTCCTTCACTTTATTTCGAAATGCATAAAATAATTTGTCTTGCTGATTTTCTCTTTCATATTTCAAGGAAATAATGACCAAAAGGCCTCAGAAATTTCGACTTACAGAGGTTTTAGGGAAAAATACTTTGAGTTAGGGAGGTTTTTAATACATTATTTCTATGGAAATCCAGACAGGGACTTGAACTGCAAAATTGAAAGAAAAAAATTCTCCCGGGGATTACGCAAAAATCAGCTTGAAGTACTGCACTGCGCTGAAATACTTCTGGAAAATTTGAAGGTTTCAGTCTGTGCATAAGATATCCTCAATAAAATTTTCTTGCTGTCAAAAGTCCGCATGAAAAATCCCAGAATAATTTTTCGATAACATTTCAATTTATGAAAATTGAATTAATTTATCGAAGCTAATCTGTCCAAATATTTATTTAATATCAGGAGTTCGAAAATGGATAAATTTCTAAACCGACCCGAAAACGTCTGATCCTCTCTTTTTTGGTCAATTGAAGGCATTAAATTTCAGCAGGGGAATGACTGTCACAATTCTTCGTCATTTGGCGCATGAATTTCGAATGGCAACTACAATATTAGGCATAAAAACAATTAAATATATATTTATAAATAAAAAATGCGAAATTAAATATAAAAAGTTTAATTCAAGAGTTCTTGGAACCCGTTTCCAACTTGACAAGCATACATACAATATTCGTTCAGGTATGACGCATTTTTCTTGCAATATCTGGAGCTTTTTTTTTTTTTCAAAGTAGAAAAATGACAATGGAAATTTGCAACGAACGAGAATAAGACACAATTCAGAATTTAAGAAAAGTAGTTTTCTGGTAATTAGCACGTTATTCTGGTTATTTTGGTGCAAAATCTTGAGGTCGCGCCTGACCATCATACTTGAACAAACAACGTTAGTACAAGGTCACATACGATCCAAGTAAGGTCATACTACTCGTCCAAAACAGAGACCTTTCTTTTCCAAGAATTTTTCCTCAAGTTCAAAATGTCAACGTCCTCGACTATCCAAGTGTAGCCCATTTGTTTCTACATACGACTGTCAAAAGGGATCCAATTAATCGCGTCTCGTGATCATTTCTTTGTCAGTACGATTTTGTTTTTTAATATTTCCGAAGATTCGAAGATAAAAATGACGAAATATGTTTTCAAAATTTCAGTTTCTCTCACTGAATTTCCCGAAAATTCATTATGGAAGGTTACTCACTCCGAATTAATTCCTGACCGACATATTCGCAAGTATTTCGTCGCCCTTCCGTGCATTTATTTTTATTTTTTTTTTTTAGAGAAAAAGGACATACCAGTGAGACCCCCACATGTGGACACCTCGACATGAGGAAAATTCAACATAGGGACTTTTTTTTTTCAATGAAAAAGGGCATAAAAAAGGCCCGACATATGGAAACTGGCTCGGCATGAGGACATTGCATGATAAAATTGCAAATAAATTTCACAAAAATTGACTTTCGTTTGGCTTGAGTGCAAGAAACAGATATTTCCAACCCTAAGATTTATGCAAGAAAAATTCTTTGTCATTTCTCCCATCATTTTCCCATCCATGCAGCTAATTTAAAAAATTGCCTTTTGCATAGAGGGACTTCCTTCTTTCTTTGTGACTTGAATGTTATTTTTGTAGATGCCAACATTTCAATGTATAGTACAGAGATACACTATTCAATGCTCCAAATGTTCTTATTGAGTTGAAAATATATCCACTGAATCAAATTCAAGCAGCAAACAATTTTTTTCATGGAATTCTGAAGAATATTTTTTCCATAAAACACCAATTAAAAATTATATAATTTAAGTCTATGGGAAAACAAGACTCAACTTAGAGACAATTCAACTTAGGGACACTCTTGATGCACCAATTACGTCCGCATCTGGGGGTCTCACGGTCTTCTCTCGGTTTTTATCAAATCAAAATTTCCGTGTTTTTTTTTTTTTTATTTTCAAAGCAAGCAGCCTGAAAGCTGTCAGTCAAGGGTTTTACGCACGAAAAACTCCGCAACAAATCTTCAACCCAATCCCTTTTTCACAGCAAGTAGAAAGACCATAGAGAGAGAGAGAGAGAGTTTTCCATTTCTAATTCATTTTATTCAACCCGCGATGTCGAGGAAAATCCTCGGCACGCAAAGAAGCACTTGCCAACCCCTTTTCTTGATTAATTCAACTTCACGCTCGAGGACGCCCCGAATAACGACGAGAATCGCGATGGACTCCTTCGTCTGAAGCTCAACAAAAAATTATGATAAATTTTTGTGTGGATTGAACCACTTCAAAGACTGGACTAAGTCAGCATATGCACTTACAATGTATATTTTACAATCCACCCTACAAAAAAAGGCACTAGCACATGAGAGTTTCTAGAGAAGTTTCCATTTCTGTTTGATCAGCAGAGCACATGATTTTCCTCAGATTTCATGACAATTCACCTGCCATGAACAGCCCCCGATTTGAAATGACTTCGTTTAAACCGAAGAAAATGCATCTAAATGCATCAGTTGGGTCATTAGGAAGGTTCGCTTATTCAATGTTCCTGCGCACTGAATAAAAATTTCAACATATATTTTTCAGAAGCTCATCATCAACCTTTGATTTCATATGACAATTCCCCTACCATTTGAAAAACCTTCACTCAAATCAAAGAAAATCTATCGAAATTTATCAGTTAGGTCATTAGGCAGGTTTGATTTTTTTAAATTTATTGTGAAACCAAATACATACAAAGTATTGTTAACAATATTTTTTTCAGAGCACACGATCACCCTCGGATTTCATGAAAATTCACCTGCCATTTACAACCCCAGATTTGAAAAGCCCCTAATTAAATGAAAGAAAATCTATCGAAATTCATCAGTTAAGTCACTAGGAAGGTTTGGTTTTTAAAATTTCCTGCGCACCAAATAAATTTTTTAGAATATTTGATCATAAACTCGTCGCCATTTGATTTCAAGACAATTCACCTACAATTTAAAACTCTTAATTGAAAAATCTTCACTCAAATTCAAGAAAATCTATCAAAATTCAGCAGTTGGGTGATTAGGACGGTTTTACCATTTTATTTTTTGCGAAAACAAATACATACGGTATTTCAACATTTTTTTTTTCAGAGCACATGATCGCCCTGTGATTTCATGACAATTCACCTACCATTTAAAACTCTCAATTGAAAACCCCTGACTCAAATATAAAAAAAATCTATCGAAATCCATCAGTTGGGTCATTAGGAAGGGGTTTGATTAATTAATCTTTTGCGGAAAAAAACATACAGTATGTTAACATATTTTTTTCAGAGCACATGATCGTGCTTGAGTTATTTTCCGATTCATGCGAGCGACATCTACTCGCTGACATTTCGATTTCAACAATTGTGAATTTCCACGGACATGCACGCGAAGCATGACCAGTTCCGGAAAATGGCTTTCTTTTTACAGACCGGAAGTCCAACAATTAATGCTCATATGCATGCGTAGGAAAGAAAATACACTTTTTTGGAGAAAAAGAGCAGGAATTCATTTCGGAATTCCCCCGATAACTTGATTTCCAAACTGAACATGAAAAGGTTTCCTCAACATTTCGAAGACTAACGTGAAATAAAAAAGGTATGTCATAACATTTCAATCATATTGCATGTCTTGGGATGCTTTTTTTCTCGATAATATTCGTAACACAAATTGAAGCGTTTATTATTGGAGAAACGCTTGTGATATGTGGTAGACGTAGAACAAAAAATGTTTTTGGTTACATGGATGATGAATGAAATTAGCGCAGATTTTGATCTCCGAGAAGATAATTCCTCATTTTCTGTGAGAACAAAACTCGTAAATTGGTGAATATTTTTTTCTTGCACACTAGTGCGCCATCCAGACGTCGTATGCAAAAGCTGCCGTACCAAAATAGTTGGCACAAATGTGTATTAGTTGCGTCATAAATTACGCGACCAGCCTTCAAGGATTTGTCGAAGATGAATCCGTTCGACGCTATTGATTTGAATTGATAAACTTGAAATGAGGATGCAAAATTATACAGGATTAAACCCTCCGTGAATACTTTTATTGGAATAATCCCTTAGACGCAATGTTTCGATAAATTATACAATTGAAATACTGACGCGACATTTCTCATAAACTCCTTCCAATCGAAATATGACAGCACCCTCCCACCATTATACAGTATTCCATTTCATCAGATGAAAGTATTGTACAATAATGTACAGTACCAGACATCGGTCAGCGCACGCATCACATTTCACCACATAGCTACGACATCTAGCGGCTAGCGTAGACTCAACGCGTTAAGCTTTCTCCGCTGCGTCAATGATGTCGCTAATGAGAGAAAAAATTCTCTCGCAGCGTCCCGTGGTGCTTCTTCACGCCCACACAACTTCCCAATTCTCATCACCTCGAGGGGGTTTCAGCTTCCTGGGAAATCCCGAAAGAAAAGGAAAGAAGGGATCCCAGTCCTGACAAGAACTTTTACGTGATGATATAAACGACAGCAGGTGGCTGTAAGACCAGACCTGCATGGCGACACAAGGATCAAATCAGACCATTACGAATGCATCTGCCGCGCGGGTATAGAGCTGAGCCAGCGTCACTCACTTCCTGGTGTCAGGTCACCGCCCTGACGTCGATACTGAGAATGAGCTCGTGACACAGAGAGAACCAGCATTTAACCGAAAAGCACTCTCCTATGGATGGAGTTTTCGAACTAATGGTACTACGGTAGTGGTAAGCGTGGCACCTGCTGGCAGGGGATAGCAGGTGATCGTGTGACAGCCCAAATGAGCGCCATCACCCGACTCAGAATCTCTGTAGGCATATTGCAGTATGGTTCGCCTGTGCTGTGTATACAGAAACAAAGTTTCCTTTCAGCTCTTTAATTTTGACAATCAACAGGCTCATTTGTAGGAGTGAGTTTCATTCACATCAAGAGCTCATTTGTCAAATGCTTCTAGAAACTGCATGTTTTTTGGTCGATAACTTTGTACATTCCACACCATTTTTCATTCCTTCGAACAAACTAAACTCGTGTATGGAATTTACAGTAATTCAAACCTTCCCAAACAATATTCAAGTCAACCGAAAATAGCTTGCAATGACTTTGTCCTTGCTTCACCCCACTTTTAATACGTCGCGCAGATGTCGCTTCAAGCTCGAATGTCACAATCATGCCCAACTTCATTACAGGACTTTGTCCAACGATAAGGACCCCGAAAACATCACATGAAAGTCGAACCCCAACATCATATCATAACCCCTAAGAGATATTCAAGATTGAACTGAACCCCAAAAATAAATGATCATACTGAGGCGACACCTATGGCATGGAAAGCATAAATACGCACTCGGGAGACATCGGGGTGCAAAAGAACTTGATTACAGGCACTCACTCCACCTATGATCAACAAATGACCTCAGTGTTCATCCCGTGGAAAAAAAGGAGACAAATTCATGTCTTCAAACTCTCATCACGTCCTACCCCCACAAAAAATGAATAAATACTGCATACAGAATATACAGCCTTGATTTCATCAATAAATATATATCCCAATTTTTCTCTCAAGAGAGAGAGAAGGAACTCTTGTCATTTTCCCTCAGCCACTTCTTTTTCAACCGCGGAATGATGCAAAGAAAAAGCCCAACATTGCGTCACCGGTGTCATCCGACCTTCGACTACACAGATCCCGTCGCGAAAATCCCGGCCTCCAATGAATGTCGCTCCCGGGAGGGGGGGGGGGGGGATTGGGGATTGTATAGGGGGTAACGGAAATCAAACACCGCATTTCAAGAAAAGGGTAAAAGAAGATGGAAATGATACTCACCGCGATGCAAATTTCCGGCGGAATATTTGACGGTTGCTCTTGGTCCTCACCTCCGTCATGAAAATCGCTGAGAGTCTCGTCCTTCATCATATCCCCGGGTAGAAAATCCTGAAAACGGGGTAAAAATAAAAAGATATAAAAAAATTAAAAAGGGAGCTTTTCGACAGGTGCGTCAGGTCTTCACGTGAAAATGTTGTAACTTGATGCTTTTTGATTAAAAAAAAAGTGGATGAATACTCGTGCAAATGAATCAGCATCAATTCAACTCCTCTTCAAGGCAGTTATGTGCCCAAAATAAATAACTTATTCCAACTGCCTTCAATTATTTTTAAAGCAATTAACATTAATTTTTAACAACAAAAAATTCAACATATAATTTTGCATCGCTTCACAACTGTGGAAGAAAAGTGAGGGGGAAATCACTGTTGAATGAAATTAAAGGAGGCGATAAATGACAATAAAGCAGTATAAATCTACATTTGCATCAAGAAATATGATAACTTAAAATAGATTCGAGGAGTAGGATCAACAACGGATATTTCAAACTCATTACTGCAATTGCCAGGCGGGTAATAATTAGTTTTTACCTGGAAATCGCTGATATTTCGCAGAAAAATTATTAAAAAAAAAACACTGATGTTTCAGGCAGCTATAAATATGCTAGGAATTCTCAAAGAGAATAAATTTTGAATATAGTCGTTAGAAAAGAAGAAAATAATTAAATGATTATTAGAATAGGTGCCTCGGACGTGAAAAGTTGAATTCCATTCAGTCTGCTAAATGTTCAAAGAATATCTGTGTTGAAAGAAATCAATCACTGTAATTTAGACAATGAGAAGAAACAAGATATTTCATCTGCTAATTTTTATCACTCCAACTTCACGGAAAATATGTTCGCACAAAACAAAATTTCAGGAAATCCATCCTGAAAATACGTAGAACCAACACTAATTGATTAATTAGGTCTTGCTTTCCTTCTATGAAACCATTCTTGAACTAATGGAATATCTTCGACAAATGAGAGACTCTGGAGCAGGATTTTTCTATTTCTTTTTTTTTTTTTACAAAATGCGAGAAAGTCAACCTCGAGAAGTTTTTGTCAAATGCCTCGACCTTTAAATCATCCATTGATTTGTGGTCAAGACTAAAATCTCACCTCGTCTTCCACATAATCCTCTTCGTCCTCCTCTTCAGCATATTCAGCCTTGACCAAGGGAAGTTCTTGGTCCAGTTCGACAATATCCCCTTCAATGTCGTCAGAACCCACGGAACTCGTTCGTGTGTCTTCCATAGCAGGGATCATTTTGTGTCCTGGAACCTATATCCACAGGTGTGAAAGAAAATCCAAAGCATAATAAGTAAACAAATGTTTGAATATGTGACGCCATTATTTGAAAAAAACGTGCCTGAATTCTCGCATGCGTCAGATGCAGCATTTAAAAATATTTTAAATTGTCATTTTTTGGAAACACTTTGTGAAAATGTGAAATTTTGTGTTGCACAAGCAAAATCAGCACAGTGAGACCCCCACATGTGGACAACTCAACATGAGGACAATTCAACATAGGGGCATTTATTTTTCAATGAAAAGAGCATAAAAAGGCCCAACATTTGACACTGACTCAACATGAGGACATTGCATGATAAAATTGCCAATAAATAATAAATAACAAAAAATTACTTTTATTTGGCTTGATTGCAAGAAACAGATATTTCCAACCCTAATATTGATGCAAGAAAAATTCTTTGTCATTTCTCCCATCCATTCAGCTAATTTTAAAAATTACCTTTTGCATAGAGGGACTTGCTTCTCTCTTTGTGACTTGAACGTTATCTTTGTAGATGCCAACATTTCAATGTACAGTACAGAGATACACTATACAATGCTCCAAATATTCTTATTGAGTTGAAAATATATTCACTGAATCAAATTCAAGTTGCAAACAATTCTTTTCATGGAATTCTGATTAATATTTCTTCCATAAAACACCAATTAAAAATTACTTAATGTAAGTCTATGGGAAAACAAGACTCAACTTGGGGAGAATTCAACTTAGGGATACTCTCAATGCACCAATTATGTCTGCATCTGAGGGTCTCCCTGTACTGTAGTCATAAATTCAGGAAAAATCAAACAAAAATGAAACATAAACTAGATTAAATAATTAATTTTACTTCTGGGAGAGTTGCCCCTTGAGAGTTGATAGAAAATAGGGAAACATTTCAAATTACAAATGAGTCTTTGAAATAGAAAGAATCAAGCTCTTGAGCCAAAAATGTCTCTTTTTTTTAAAACCAATTCCTAACATTCTAAATCGGGAAAGTGTGCGTATTTTGTTGCTATTGGCATCTGAAATCCTCTCTTCTTTTGAGTTTTTCTTTTTTAATATCCCATCAAAATCCAGGCGCAACTTATGCATAATTTTAACAATCACAACAAAATGAATTCCAAGTGGTTTTCTTCCCCCAGAACTTCAATTTGACCTAATATTGCCACTCACTCTTTTCGCAACGATCAAATCACTCCTCAACGAAGTTGCAGAGGGTTCTATCGTCACTCCGGGCAAAAACCGTTTGAAAATGGCCTTGGCATTCACATTGGCACCGTCTTTCACACTTGCCGACGACGACACCAACCTGCCATTGCTGGCATCGAATCCAGTGTTGCAGAGGGTTCTATCGTCACTCCGGGCAAAAACCGTTTGAAAATGGCCTTGGCATTCACATTGGCACCGTCTTTCACACTTGCCGACGACGACACCAACCTGCCATTGCTGGCATCGAATCCAGCAGTCTTCCCATTGCAATCCGCCTTGGGCTTCTTATTATTCCTCTCATTCGCGTTACTATCCACCGCCACGACGCGCTTCCTATTATTCCCGCCGGGTGTCGCCGCTGCCGTGGCAGTAGCCGTGCTCGTCGTCGTCGTCGTTGCAGAAGTCGCACCAGGTGTCGCATCCTGCTTCACGAACAAATCCCCAACTTTCTCCATCATCTTCAGGCCGCGAACCTCGAGCTTGGCAGCCAGTGCCATAAACGGATCCAGTTGCGTCGCGTCCAGAAACACTTCGCCATTGTAGACAAAGTCCAGGACGAGTTCGAGAAGGTCCGGGGCAGCGTCGGTGACGATGAGTGCAGCCGAAGCCCGTGGGTCCAGGTCATTCACGACCTTCTCGAAAAAGGTGCAGCAGGCAGCGAGGATGACCTTGTGGGCGCGGAATTGCTTGTCGCCGCAGTAGAGGACCTCCAGTCTCTCCTGAAGGGCACTGGACTCCGGGGCCTTCTACCTCTTGTAGAGCCGGCTCACCAGCACGGTGAAGTGCAGCATAGGCAGCGCCAAGTAGCGCTGAGTGCAAATAATGTTTTATATATTTAATAATAACAACAATAATGATCCACGAAAACCCGCGATCTTCTCCTGCGAAATCAGAAAAAAATAACACGTCACGTAAATGTTTCCCATCCATTTCGCCCGACACGACAAAAATATTGTACAATCCATAACCCAGAATTTCCTGGCGTTGGAACAAATTCATATCCGTCAGACAATGGAACTCATTTTTGTTTCATAAACATATACACTGAAACTCCAAGATGTGGACATACTTGGTGCATTACGAGTGTCCCAAATTTGAAATGTCACTAAGTCAAGTTAGACTTACACTATACAATTTTTAATTGGTGTTTCATGGAAGAAATATTCATCAGAATTCCATGAAAAAAGGAAAAAATCGTCTGCTAATTGAAACAGATTCAATCAATATTTTTCAACTCAAAAAGGACATTTGAAGCATTGTCGACTGTACCTCTGTTCAGTACATTGAAATGTTGGCATTCTCTGTAATAATAAAATAAAATTTGAGTCAAAAATAGAGAAGAAAGTCCCTCTAAGCTGGAGGTAATTTTTAAAATTTAGCTAAATAAATGGTAAAATGATTAGAGAAATGCCAAAGAACTTTTCTTACATAGATCTTACAGTTGGAAATATCTGTTTCTTCTAATTTGGCCTGAAACTTATCTGCAATTTTAGATCATGTCCACATGCCAAGTCAGTGTCTGCATTTTGAGCCTTAATGATACAGTTTCATTAGAAGATGCGTTTCTGGGTACTAAATTTTTCACATGTCAAGGTGTCTGCATGTGGGCAATGTACCTTTATAACCTAAGTTTTGGTCAATTGCATTCTATTATTTTCATTTTACTACACATGATACTACAATATACAGTAGACACCTGTTACAATGACTCTTGTTAAAACAAAACAAAAACACTTACAATGGAGTCTTTTCCAAGTCCCTGACTCCCTCCTCATTAGACACAATTTCAACAAGTCACCTAATATCAAAGTTTTCTTACAATGAAGCTACACTTGAACCTCAATAACTTAAACCACCTCAAGTCATGTACTGGACCTCCATACGTTGAATTTTTAAAGTCCCTGTATGGATTCCTTTAGAAACAATGTACAGTATTAAAATCCTTCCTAACTCAAAGGCTTCTGCCCTCAGAACTCAATCAATCAATTTCCTTGAGGCATGTTTTTTTTATTACAGTACTTATTTTACCCAGGCAAGAAAAAAACAATAAAAATTCAGCCTAAATGCTTTTTGAGAGGAAGTGAAAATAGGGTGGATGAACCCAGCATTTTCAACTTCTTTACAATGCGGTTTTGGGTCAAGAAACATCACTTGCAACAACACTTCCTTTAATTATTTTCTCAATGCAAAAAAATTGTAGTTTTGCTAACACAAAACAACTTTTGAGTCGGATTTTGTTGCTGGTCCCTTGGAATTTGACCTGAAGAGGTTCAACAGTATTTTACTGGACCCCATAGCTTCATTTTAACAAGATTTTACTGCACATAATTACGAAGTATGGTAAAGTGCTTTACTGTCCAATAATCAGTCACAGTATCATTTTAAAACGTGGCACTAATACTGTGGTTTACCTTCACGCAAAGATTATCATTGGTCACTACGTACTTGCGTGAGTGAGTCAATATATGCGGCACTCATTTTAGTACTATGGGCGTTCTTGAAAAAAATCAGTGTTCTTATATACAGTAGCTTAGAAATTTCCTTTATGCTAAAACAGCGATTACCGAGATTCAAACCCTAATATAGTACCCTTTTTTGAAGTCGACCTTTCAAAAATAACCCGCAATCTTCTAGTCAGGCAAGTATGCGTGATTTTGAAGCATAAATATCGAGGAAAAGACGAATACTGTATGCCATTCTACTATGTAAAAATCATGAGGAGAAAAACAAAAAAGATTCCAACAGTAACGAAAAAAAATTAATTATGGATGCTTTTCTGCTCGTTACTTTTACCGCATATCTCACATACAGTAATTTCAGACCACACCCAGATGTTGGGCAATCATTTAAGGGATAGGCCGCAAAAATGGAAATTTCGCAGAGATTGATGCAGAAGTTCACATGGGAAATCTTGAAAAATCTTTGCATAATTGGCATTGAAGCATCAATCTGTTGCTTTGAAAATGTTATGCAGCTACTATAATGATACTGTACAGTATAAGAAGAACAAAGTAAAATATTGCGGTTGATCCATGAACATACTGTATTACCAACACCTTCTCACAATCAGAACAAGCATTGAATTGAACCAAAAGCTTCATTTTCTGCTTTTCAGCAATCACAAGGTTCAAGCGATCTTCCTACATCCAAACCCCCTCCACTCTCCACCCACATTCCATCACATCAGAATGGAAAACAGTGAAATAAGCTGTAAATGGATATTAAAAGGAAAGAAAATACATCCCAAAATGTACAATTGCACAACTGATACAAATACATACACTTCCTTCTCTTCCCTGATAACAAAAACAAAATATCAGTAATAAGAATTGCAGCATAAGGCAATTAATGAACCCAAATTACAGCACAAGGTGTTTGGCCGGCTCCCAGATAAGGTTTAGTTGATTGAACAATTTGGAGAGAATCTTTGATGAGAAATCATATAAAGTTAGCAGTTTCTTTTGGTCCTCTGCGTCTAAGATTTTGGAAAGAGCCTTTCATTGAATATTAAGAGTCCCAAATCTTTTTGAACCTCATTTCTGTAGCTATGGAATGCTGGGCATAAGCAAAAAAAAGGTGCTCTGGTGATGCATAACAAATACATACATGGATTCTAAATGGCAAAATATGGTGGTCAGTGGGTTGCCAATCGCACAATTGCCCGATCTACCACCTTCTCCAAAAGCAAAAAAATTTGTTCAAAATTTACCACTTCCCAAATCAAAGCCAACACACAAATCTGAAAAAATTCTTTAAATATACTGGCCAGTAGGTTCTGTATTGTATAATAAAAGAATAATCCCTGAAATGTTTATGCTAAATCAGTGTTTCTGAGCAGCGTTTCGTTCGACAAGAAAGGCGTGGTCTATGGTGGTCGAGCTGACAAGAGTAAAGTACAGTATCGTACAATAGTCTGAATACCGTACTTACTCCCCTGACACGGTTCCAAGTGATCCGTCCTCATACCCGTCATCACTTGGATGCATCCCGCACACCGTCACGCAGCGCGAAAAACAATAACCCCGAGGGCGGCAACATTCGATCCCATGCCAGAGGGAGTCACAACAACGGACCGGATGCGGGCAGTGTTGTTTACGCCATTCCCTTGTCGGAAACACGATCGGTATACGACGGACTGACAGACAGAATGAGAGAGACAGGCAGAACAGGGAAACACGTGACAGGAGACTGGTGCTGGTCAACTCCACTGCAGGCCAGATAGCAGGGAGGCATACAAGGACTTCTCTGTCACCCAATGCTATATATATATATACGCAGAGAACTGGTGGTACACGGGCAGCTGGCAGGTGTGGCGCGGAATGGTGCCTTTAATCAAGGAAAATCACCCAAAACACGTGTTCTCAGTAATTTGCATTTATTTATTTCTTAGTTTAAAACATTATGTCAAGGCAAAATTCAGAATCTTTCAGAAACCCTTAAGACAAAACTAGGCCACTTTTTTTCAAGATATAAAACAAACCCAGTAGCATCTTTTCCACTTACAGTATGTCATAATAATGGTGGTGTTTGGCCATCCAGCGCCAATACGCAAACATGATCAGGTGAACATTAGAGCAGATGCCACCTTTCCAGACTGCAGGGTGGAAATGAGCCAGAGTTCGTCAACTTCTGGTACACATGAGGAGGTGTGCAAAAATGGCTCTGGAATCAAGGAGAATCTTCTACATCCTTAGTGCTTTTTGGAGCCAGGAAGAGATGTAGAGACAGAGTGGGTGTTCCATCTTTTAGAAAAACCCCACAGTAAAAACTGAGGGACTTAGATACAAGAATGGAAAGTAAACCCAACAGTAGCTTTTTCATCTATTCTATACCATACTGGTGGCATTTCTCCATCCAGAGGGGGTATGCAAACACACTCATGTCAACATCAGGCCAGATACCAACTCTGCAAGGTGGCACATGGCAGAGTTTTTCAACCACTGGTACACTTGAGGTTTTCCGCAAAATGACCATTGAATTCATGACAATCTCTGCATCATCCATGTCTTCTGAGCTAGGAAAAGATGTGGAGATAGTGTGTTGCATCCGGAATGTGTGCTGTCTTTCAGAAAACCCTTCTCAAAAAACACAAAACTTGAAGGGTCCTTGAAGCCAGGGATGCAAAGTAAGTCAAGCAGCAGCAGCAGCTTTTCAATCATACCACACAGGATGTATTTGTTGGTCTTCAGGTAATGCAGATGGACTCTATTTACAACCAAATTTAAGGGGAACAAAAAGTTTTGTTTATTATAAATGATTTTGTTGTAGATCAACTGTATAACATGGAAAGAGCAACATATGGGGCCAAGAATATTGCTGAAGAGCATTGGAGAGAGAGTCCACCTGCATACACATACACTCCCATTCCTTGCAAGTGGTACCACCCCCTACCCAAAACAAGAACACAGCAGTTCAGCATCTCTGGTATAACATTCAGGACAAACACACACACACACACATCCCAGGACTGATGGAAAGAAGAAACTAGAGGCACCCGCAGCAGAAACGGCAACAATCCACACACCCATGCCCATCCTGACAGCTGCAAGAGAAGAAGCACCAAGCAGCAACTTCGCCCTGATGCCCTCATCCCGCCCCCTCCGTCCGTGCGCGCACACGTCTCTCTCCCTCTCTCCATCTCTCGCATTCGCTACTTCTTCAGACCGAGCCAGTCGCACGTACACGGTCACGGACACTGTATCAGTGTACAGTACGAGCATAGCGTACTGTACCCGCGCATCCATGCGGGCTGAGAGTGTCGGGACACCCATGATATACGGAGAGGGAGGGAGAATGAAGCTGGTGCAGCAGGCGGCGCCGTCAGGCTGCCAGGGCTTCTTCCCGGGACTCATTGGTCGCCAGGCGGCGTGGTTGCGCTTGACAAATAGCAGACATCACGCGGAGTGTTTGCTGATGCAGCACACGTTGGCAACCCGCGCTGCATCCGCAATCGCCACACAGATGTCAAGGAGAAAATTATCCCCGGGTAATAATGTACAGTACTGTATAAGGAACGACGCGGTATATCCCCATCTGATGCGATGAAGCTCCATTGTGTTCCGTGTAATGGAAGACGCCGAGTTACGGATTCTAAAGTAATAAATACGCCGCGGTATTCTTTCAAATGTCCCACTGTTTTAAGATCCCATGGTTCTACTTTCAACGATGCTAGATATCGTGGTTGTCCACTCAACTATAAAACGCCTGCCCCAGCTTCATATAAGATGGTGAGACACAGGAATAATCGTTCATGTAAGAAACTACAGTGCAGTAGTAAAAATAAAAGAAGTCCCATAGTACCGGTATTTCTTACAGTTAAGGTGATGATGGAAGATGCCATGTACCTCAGGTCAACTCAATGTTCTTTCTCCAATGTCATGCGCACTATCTTTAAAATCTGTGCAAGAAACAACAGTTAGAGTAAGATGCTAGATATTCCAATATAAAAGTACCGCAGAACCTTGACAACTTGAACATCTTTAAGGCAAATAATCCTCCCTCTGTCAATTTTTTCGTCAAGTATCTGTTTGAATGCCCTTGGAAGCAATGCGTTCTCAATTCCTCCTCAACCCTCTATAACTCAAATTTTTCTTGAGGCCTCTTTGGCTATTATTTTATTGACTCAGGAAAGAGAAAAGCAAGAAAAAAGTAACTTGATGGGTTCTGAAAGGAAGTATTGTACAAGACTAAATGGGCAAATGGACCCTCACCTCTAACTTCAACAATCTGTCAACTCATTCAAGAAGCAATTTTAAGCCCATGATATTAGCATTTACAATTTCCTGTGATTCTTTCTCTCTTTCCACCAACACAAATGCTTGTTTCCCTAAGTTGAAGCCTCCCTAACTCAATTTTTTTCTAGGTCCCTTGAAGTTTGACTACATACTACCATTTCAATAGACACCAGACTGTTTCTAACACCAGCCTTTCCTAGCAATACATTCAGTTTCAATTCCTCTGTATGGTAAATTTTTACTTTGAAAAATATATAACCTGGCTTACAAGTAGGGTTATAAGAAGGCTTCCAGTTGTTCCTGGCATTTGCAGTACTTCTACAGATACTTTTTCCTACTTTTCCTGTTTCATAATCACCCCGTCATCATGATCCCCCAGGAAGCATTTCCTTCATCCCTGTGAGCAACGCTTGCGGAATAAATGAGAAAACAAATGAAATTGGAACAACTTTCCCATCAGAATAAAAAAAAGAATAAAACACAGCAGAAGGATTCTAATATCCCTTTCTAATTCGCAATACTGTACGTACGTTTATGGGATGCACGCGACTGAGTTCCCTGCTTAGCAGCAGACGGCACCACGCACATCCTGACGCGGAGGATGCGTTTTCTGTGCACAGTAAAGTACTGTACAGTAGAAACCTTGGAACACCTGATGCAGGAGCGCCTCAAAAAAACCTCCATGAGTGGCACTCCTCTCATTTCACCGGTGGTTACGCGGAGACAATTGCAGATGGCATGCTATATTGTACTGTAGTGCAGTTGCAAGCAATGTTTAATATGGCTTGCACCTTGTTGAGAACATGAACGATATGATTTTGAGGACTTGATGAGCAATGAATATTGAGACACGTAAAACGTTCCACAGATTTTCGTCACAGCAAAATGTACTGCATTAGAGCAGGGGAAAATTACATTTGTTCTCCCTTTACTCTCTCTTGAATCACAAAAAAAGAGCAAAAATACCTCCAAAAAATGAGAATTTCAAGGGCCCAGTAAAAAAAATTCCAGGCATGGAAAATAGCAATTTTTTGTTTTGGGAAAGAAAGAAGAATCACAGGAAATTGTATTGGTGATTTTCTGGGCATTAAATTGCTTCTTCAATGAGTTGACAGGATCCTGAACTTGGAGGCAAGGGTTTCATTTGCTCAGTTAGTACAAAACACATCAAGTTGAAATTTTTTTTTTGCTTTCCTTTCTTGTGCCAATACAGCAATAGCTAAAAAGGCCTCCAGAAAGATTCAAGTCACTGAGGTTGCAGAAGAAAGCCCTTGAATTAATGGGTTTTTTGTTTCTAAGCGAATTCGAACAGTGACTTTAAAAAAATGACAAAGCAGATTATCGAGACTCAACTGCATCAAAAGCTGTAGTTTTCTCTCTCAAAATTTAAAACACAATTTTTGCTCCTCGGATGTGACTCACACACACACACACACACACACACACAGTTTATGCTTTCCCCATCCTTCCGTTAATATCATAGCACTGGGGGTAATTTAAAATATCATCATGGTTTGCACGGGCAAAGCTACAACGGTGAAAACGATCACGGAAAATGACCATCTGCCAACCACACCTTACGACAACATCACTGAACTGTACTTTGCTATGAGTGGCACTCCTCTCATTTCACCGGTGGTTACGCGGAGACAATTGCAGATGGCATGCTATATTGTACTGTAGTGCAGTTGCAAGCAATGTTTAATATGGCTTGCACCTTGTTGAGAACATGAACAATATGATTTTGAGGACAACGATGAGCAATGAATGTTGAGGCACGTAAAATGTTCCACAGATTTTAGGTACTGCATTAAAGCAGGGGAAAATTACATTTGTTATACCTTTACTCACTCTTGAATCACAAAAAAAGAGCAAAAATACCTCCAAAAAATGAGAATTTCAACGGACCAGCAAAAAATTCCAGGCATGGAAAATAGCAATTTTTTGTTTTGGAAAAGAAAGAAGAATCACAGGGAATTGTAATTGGTGATTTTCTGGGCATTAAATTGCTTCTTAAATGAGTTGACAGGATGCTGAACTTGGAGGCAAGGGTTTCATTTGCTCAGTTAGTACAATACACATCAAGTTGAAAAAAATTTTGCTTTCCTCTTTCTTGTGCCAATACAGCAATAGCTAAAAAAAAGGCCTCCAGAAAGATTCAAGTCACTGAGGTTTCAGAAGAAAGCCCTTGAGTTAATGGGTTTTTTGTTTCTAAGCGAATTCGAACAGTGACTTTAAAAAAATGACAAAGCAGATTATCGAGACTCAACTGTATCAAAAGCTGTAGTTTTCTCTCTCAAAATTTAAAACACAATTTTTGCTCCTCGGATGTGACTCACACACACACACACAGTTTATGCTTTCCCCATCCTTCCGTTAATATCCTAGCACTGGGGGTAATTTAAAATATCATCATGGTTTGCACGGGCAAAGCTACAACGGTGAAAACGATCACGGAAAATGACCATCTGCCAACCACACCTTACGACAACATCACTGAACTGTACTTTGCTTAGCACTGGGGGTAATTTAAAATATCATCATGGTTTGCACGGGCAAAGCTACAACGGTGAAAACGATCACGGAAAATGACCATCTGCCAACCACACCTTACGACAACATCACTGAACTGTACTTTGCCGCAGAGTACCAAAATAAAATATATATTCACAGTACTGTATATATTTATAGACAGTATATCCAGGACACAGTCCCCTATCCTTCCACTAGCAACGAAGTACCAACACATAAAATGCTAGCTTAGTTGTTCGAGAATCACTCGTAATCTTGACAGCTTTCAACATGAGGCTTCTTGAAATGTTTTTTCGGACTGCCTTTTGGTGCATCCGTGGTTTGATGGTGTCCCTTGAGTGAACACCATGGAGATCATTATTTCTATGCGTGGAATTACACCCTGCGTGTTAAAACTCTTTTTCGTTAGGACCGACAAGACTCACAATCCTGTACGCAGTGGCACAAAAAACTCCATACATTTGAACAAATAAGATTTTATTTCAATTCTGCTGCATTTGCTTTCATTCCAAATAAATGGTAAAATTTGACATTTAAACAAATGAAATATGAATTTCAAAAATTTTGCTGCATTTGCCTACAAGTAAAATAAATGCTAAAACTCGAAATTCAAACAAATAAAATGTAATTTCCATTTCGCACCACTTGCTTTCATTTCACACTGTCATCCCCCGGTTAGATTTGATCCTGACTAAAATGAGCACCGAACGTTTACAGAATTTGCACAAACAACAAAAATTATTTTGAAGTATCCACTTTTCCATACCCCACTTTTCCAGGGAAAAGCTGCAGGTGGTACTGGGATAAAAAAAAAAAACGAGCATGAGAATATATCTTTAAAATTCACTAGCCTTAAAATTAATTCAGAAATTGCACGTACCACGATTAAAACTAAGCCACAGCTAAAAGAAAATAATTTCAAAGGAATTCAATTGCACGGATTTTTTCTGGTGAAACATCGTCATTAGCTCGTCGTCGTTGCTTCAAGCATGATTTTTAAGAGGATCATTGTTGCTTTTTATGCAGCTACCGTAGGGTCAATCAGCGGCCATTTTTGTAATTCCTTTCTTACAGTTTCACTTATACAGTACAGTGCGTTTATTTTATCCGTGGCTGGACTGGGTTCACATCATAAAATGAATGCCTTCATTTCCTGGGAGGGGGGGGGGCGAAGAGTGTGGTCGCATGACACAACCACAAACGGGTTAATAGTCATTCGAATATTTTTCGAACTAGATGAGAGTACTGTGCGGTCGTGCGAATCTGCACATTTAGAACCATGAAGAATAACATAGAAAATGTCCTCGCAAACTATCGTTCAGTACGCCGGCTACAATACTACGCAAGAACTAGAGTTTTGCAAAAAGATTGAAAATCGGCAGCAGCACCACTGCAACTTTCATGTTTTCAGAAATATGCATTCAAATTTGAGCCATGGTTGGAAAGGATGTACTGTACCACTAAGCGACCATCAAGCGCGTCGCGTACGGACGCCGTCGAACGAAGTACTGTACCAATACATCGTCAAACATGTGGTACAATCTGAGCCATGTTTGAATAGACCTGCCCTATACACTACCACGCCC